AAGAAAAAATAAAATAAGAAAAAAGCTGATAAACGCAAATGCTCGGCAACAGAACATACTTTAGGAAGAAAAGGGCATGTGTTATATTTAATTCCTCAGGAGGAAATCCTTTAGCAAAATGAATACAGCCCTGAGATATATGGTATCCCACAACTTGATAATATTGATAAGGACACTCTACTAATATTTACGATCTCAAACTGACAAATCCTGCCCGAGGGATCTTTCTTCGAAATGTTTTGTTGGGGAAGCCAAGGAGCTTGTTCAGAACTTCTGTTTTTATCCTTGACATAGCACTAAATATCATGAACATAAAGCTAGAAGAATTATTACAAAGCAAAACAAAAAAGACATGATATAGTCAGTTGTCTTATACTATATACAGTCAATCAATGTGGCATAACTTTACCACAGTACAATAGTATAATAGAAAGTTGTGAGTTGTACTGTTTTTAGTTACCGTTTTTTGTACTGTTCTTATTACAAAGGATACTYAGTTTATACTTTATATTTCAACACATCGGTTTCGAGGTTGCACCTGTGACAAGTTGTGTCCTTTATACAGTACTGGAGAGTGACGTGATTTCGTTTGTATAATTTTCCTGTTAGCATCGCGTCCAAAATAAAGAAAAGTGTCCACATTTCCCGTTTAAGATATCTGAAAATTTCACTCTTTTGCATTGCCAATTTTTACCCCCCCCCCCCCCCCCCCTTCCCTGATATAACAAATTTTACATGTTTGCCTTGTGCTGGTATTAAAATTTGTAATTCCCAAATTTTTCAACCACACACATATTCATGGTTTAGAATTAAACACTAAATTTCGTATTTACACAAAATAATAAACTACAAGCCACGCATATTTCTTTCTTTCTTTTTTTTAAATTTTTTTTAAGACCTGTCAGTCCTCTTGACATACTCTAGGCTGTAAAACGAGTTCTGTCTTGCTCTTGTACAACGCTGCAACGACAATCGAACCAATTAGAACTTGTGAGCACTTCAGTGAAATACCAAACTGGTTTTCCAGCTCTTTGGTCACGTGACTTTTTTAATGCCTGTCTTTTCAA